GTGTCCTTTGGGAGTTGTGTAGCAATCTGAGATCTTGCAAACTGCTGCTTTCTCATCTGTCAGTTGGGAAGGTTTGTCAAAGCTGAAGTTCTCTAGGGCATAGATGGGAGGGATGTTGATGAGATTCTGCAACTTTTGTTGCTTTCCTTTCCTGTTCGTGTCTTTGTTACTATTTCTTCTGTCGGCAACTGCTGCTGCTGTTTTCCTTCTGGTTTTCTTCTCCTCTAGCACTGCTGAACTTCAAACATCATGGCTACGTCTAGACTGGCATGATTTTCTGGAAATGCTTTTAACGGAAAAGTTTTCCATTAAAAGCATTTTCGGAACAGAGCATCTAGATTGGCACAGACGCTTTTCCGCAAAAGCACTTTTTGCGGAAAAGTGTCCATGCCAATCTAGACGCGCTTTTCCGTGAAAAAGCCCCGATCGCCATTTTCGCGATCGGGGCTTTTTTGCGGAAAACAAATCTGAGCTGCTCAAAAGGACTTCTGCCTGAACGGGAGCAGCATAGTATTTCTGCAAGAACACTGACAATCTTTCATGAGATTGTCAGTGCTTTTGCGGAAATTCAAGCGGCCAGTGTAGACAGTTGGCAAGTTTTTCCGCAAAAGCGGCTGATTTTCCAGAAAAACTGGCCAGTCTAGATGCAGCCCATGCCATGTACAACTTCTACAGGGTAGGCTGCAGGGCTGTTTTAGGAGGGGAGGTTTCTGTACCAGATATAAATTGGCTTCTGAGCTTCCTTCCCAGACAGCTACACACCAGGTGTGTTCACAATGAGCCCCCTTACTGGCCTGACAGCTATGACTGAGGGGTACTAAAATAAATGGCTGCACAATTTATACAGAACAAGAGAACACAGTTTAGCATTTCATTACAGTCCATGCATCTTTCCCTCAGCTGCATCTCCCCCTGCTATTCCAGCCCTATGGCCCCTCATGGCCCTGCCAACTCCCCACCCTCCACTGCCATCACCTCCTCTGCTGCTGCAGGGGTGTTTCAGACATAGATACCATCAGGACCCACCTCTGCGCTGGGCCCTGGCACTTCGCACCTGCGCACCCAGGATGATTAAGACCAGGCAGAGCAGGGCCCCCAGGATAATGCAGACGACCACAGGCACAGTGCGTCTCCCACTGTCGGTCGCAGGGCGGCGCGAGGGAGCTGGATGGAAAGGAGCAGGCCACAGAGAGAGACGGGTGAGTGAGAGCGAGCTGCCTCCATGTCTGGGTTGGTCACAGATCACTGCTTTCTTCCCTGCAGCTGCCGCTGCTGGGTCCCAGACACCTCAGTTCGCCACCCCAGCACTGTGCTCTGGGCCTGCACCTCTACTGCTCTTCAATTTCACAGGCCTGGGCAGGACCCCCTGGGCCTCAGGCTACAGCGGCCCTGATTCTGATCCTCCTTATGCTCATATAACCCATGAACTTCTGTGGAGTAGTGCCTGATATACACACGTGTGAGACCGAATCAGGCCGTTGTGACACACTGAGCCTGCATGCAGCTTATGCGCAGACGCTTCTCTCTTTTCCCTGGCTTCAGTTATTCATTGATTCAGGGTCTTTAAAGCATGGAGATTCTTACTGTGGTATCTCTGTATCCTGCAATTTCAATATACACATGAAGACCACCCTTTTCTATTTTCCTTTATTTGGTCTCCCTCCTCGTTTTTCTCTATCTCTTTCTGTTAGGCTTTTTTGAGGAAAGGGGAGCAGAGTTGGAGTCTGGCGGCGGGGGAGGGGAATGTGCTTGTTGCCTGGGGGAGCAAGTCCCCGGGGGTGTCCAGACATCACCTGTTCTCTTTCCCACAGATGCCGCCAGCAGTGCGGCGCCTGCACACTGGGGAGTTAGGGCCCAGGTGCCCCTGTGCTGAGACACTGGTAACAAACCAGCTCCCTGGGCCGATGCCTGAGCCAGCCCAACCCACAAAGGTTCCACCCATGGCAGCCATGATGCTCCAGCACACAGGAGAGGAAGGGCCCAATCCGTGAGCAAGGGGGCAGTTGGGTCCATCCTCCTCCCTGAACCTCACAGCATGTCACAGAGACGTCGCTGCCACTCACCTGAGCAATTCACGGCAGCATCTTCCTTATGGCCACAGTTGCTGTCACCCCAGGGCTTGGCCCGACAGTCCCAGAGGGATAACTCTGTCCCTCTGCAATTCAGCATCTCCACCCAGATGGGACCAGTCCCCTCGCCGAATGCAGCCTCGCCCAGGGCAGACACGGCCGCTCCACAGCCCAGTTGTTTACACGTCACGTTAGCGTCCGCCAAGTCCCAGGAGTCATCACAGACTGTGCCCCAGGAGCCACGGTACCAAACCTCCACTCGGCCCGAGCAATTGCCCTCTCCTCCCACGAGGCGCAGCTTGTCCCGGTCTGGAAATGCAGAAACCTCCCATGTTACTGGCACAGCAGGGAACCCTCAGGGAGCAAGAGGGGACAGGGAGAGGCAGAGATACCTGTGCAGCTCGTCGAGTTCGGGCATTCAGTAACCTGGGGCTGAGTTGGTTTCACTTTTTGCCCTGCAGACAGCAAAGAATGCAGTGAACAGACTGAGGAGCACAAGTGATGTAGGAGTGAGCAGGGTGAAAATATGGGTGAATATTAAACCCGCCACGTGCAGCAAGTTTATAAACTTAAATCTACACTCTAGTTTTTTCCTAGCTAATGGATTTGTTACTCGGCCGCTCCCCTCCCTCAGCTGTTGAAATCTCTAAGCAGCTTCCAGCTGGCATGACTGTTCCAGCCTTCCCACGGATGGTCACTCCTGCCCCTTCCAACGTTGGAAGTTAGAAGCCAATTGCCAGCTGGAATTCACCCAGGTTATTGAGGGGATGCGGGGAAAAGAAAGAGCGGGGTCAGGACTGGGGCCATCATGGGACTGTAGATCTGAAACAAACAAACTATCTCCACACTTGTCCACAGACACAAGGTATATCTACACTGCAGAGATTTTTTGTAAAAAAGTCGGTTTTTCCAACAACACTTGAGTTACATCCACAGTGCTATTACGTTCTTTTGAAAAAAATTGAACGGAGGGGATTTTCTGGCATTGGTAATCCGCATTATATGAGGAAGGAGCCTTTTTCCTAAAGAGTTCTTTCGGGACAATGCATGCGTGGACAGGGAAGAGGGAGTTCTTTTGAACGAAGAGGAAAGAGGACAAAGCACAGGTGCCCTGGTGGCCACTCTGCCCATAGCAATCACAGAAGCCTGGAGTCTAGACGTAGCCCCACACACCCGCTTGGGGACTGGTCACACCCTGGCTGGCAGGAAGCAGAGCCTGCAGCAGAGCCCATCTCCAGGCAACCTATAGCTGGTACCATGGGCAGCTGGCCTGTAGTAGGGTCGTGACTGACCATCCTGCCTGATGGGTGGGAAGGGGCAAGTCTAGCATCCACTGCAGCCATTCAACAAGTGCTCACAGCTGCAAAACTTCATGCTCCCGCCTCCTTCCCAGCCCTGCCCTTTCACCCCCTCTGGCCTCGCTCCAGGTAACTCAGTCCTACCCCTTGGCTCCAGTTCCTGACTTCCGACTGGCCCTGGCCTCTCAATCTGCCCGTGACTCATGTCTCCAATTCTGTCTCCCTGCTCCTGTTCTAACCACTCCCCAAAACTGCCACGTCTTGGTCACTGGCACTGGGCCCGTCTCTGACTGTTCACCCCACACGGGCAGACGCACAGATTCCCACAGCGTATTTGTGGGCTCACCTAGGTGACTGCTCCGTGCTACTCAGCACCTTCCGCTAACTAACCCTGCGGCTTTCCCACGAGCTGTATTCTCATTCCTGGGACGGTCGGTGAAATGGCGCCTGTCACTGCTGAAACTAAACTCAAACCCACTTCACCAGGCGCTGTGAGTGTGGAAGTGTCCGTGCTGAAAAGTGAAGACGTGCAAAACTGCTCCCAGGCCCTTCCCTTGTGTCAGACGTGCAGAGGGTGCGTGTCAGCGTGGAGCGTGTCAGAATTACCAGTGCAAGAGATGTGGGTCTCTTCCGCACGGTCATCACACGACTGCTGTTCCCACGGGCGGGAGGGGCACTGCCAAAGGGAGCTGTGCTGCTCACGGCATGTAACATGGTCCAGCCATGTGGGACCAGAACCTTCTCCATACTCAGGGCCAGACTCGATATTCCTTTTGTCCCCACAGTTCAGCTGCTTGCAGATGATTGATGCAGTGACTGTAGACATCTGATTGGAGCAGACGCTGCCCCACGTCCCATTGTAGAAAACCTCCAGCCGCCCGGCACAGCCACTGCCACTCACCAGCCGCAGGTCTGTGAACTCTAGAAGAAACGCACAGACGTGCAATATAAATGGTCTGATTCTAAATGTAACTGGGGTGAGAAGAGTGAAATCCCCATAAACATGACCAGCCCCAGGCATTGTTCTGCACAGGCCAGTGCCTGCAAGAGTCACTGCAAGAATCAGAGACTCTTCTGGCCCCCACATGCCCTTTAGAAACACAGGGAGCATGTCTGGAAAGTGCCCCCTTAATGGTCGTTACACGCACAGATAGTCCAGCGATAGCTGTAACCGCCCCTCCCAGCACTGGGGACACAAATGCAACGAGAACTCATGGGAAATGGCGACTTTCTAATCATGATCCCAGTAGGTAGGTTGGAGAGACACAGAGACAGCAAGAGAGTTTCTACCATTCCCAGCTGTCTCCTCACAGCCCCTGGTAACCAGGCTCCCGGGAGCGCTCCCAGACCAGACCTGAGCAGAGAACTCCCGCGTCCTCCTTGTGTCTGCAGTTGTGCTGGCCCCAGGGTGCGAAAGGACAGGCCCAGAGATCGGATTCGTTCCCAGAGCACTTCACATCGTCCAGCCAGATCTGCCCGGACCCTTGCCCGTAATGAGCAGAGACAGTTGCATTGAGGGCGTGTCCACATCCCAGCTGTTTGCAAACGACATCGGCGTCTGGCAGGTCCCAGGAATCGTCACAGACTGTCCCCCAGGTGCCATTGTAATAAATCTCCACTCTCCCGGCACAGCGACCCGGCCCATTCACCAGCCTGATCCGCCTGCTCCCTGTGGGACAGATCCCAGCGGTTAGTGCTTGTCGCCCTGCTGCCCAGAGCACGTGTGTGAGATCAGGAAACGACTCACCCGAGCAAACGACACCGATGTCCTCGGCAATTCTTGCCTGGGCCAGCTCAGACGTGGAGTTGTCACAGCCAATCAGATGAGTTTCGTTCCCTGCACACTGGACCCTTCTCATCCCCACGGGGCCCATCCCTCGCTCAGACGAAGGGGGGTTATAAGCTCTCTCAGCTGCTCCGCACTGGAGCTGCCTGCAGACCACGCTGGCATCGTTCATGTCCCACTGGTCATCCAGCACCCGGCTCCACACACCTCGGAGGGAAATCTCCACTCTGCCATCGCACCGGCTCTCTCCACTCAGCAGCCGCAGCGCCCCAGAGAGACCTAGGCCTAGCAGACAGGAAACACACTGAGTATCATTCACTGCTGTAGACTAGAAATAACACAGGGTGTGATGCTGTGTGGAATAGGGAGGATGGTTTGTAATATAATTTGTACCAATATTATAAATGTTCAAGGAATTTGATGAGCCAGATAGCTGTGAAAATGTTATGACAACCAAGCAAGATAATCTTGTTGAGATGTTCCATCACCTGTGTTTTGGGAGTTACAAATGTACTAGAGGATTTACCTGGCGTGACTGAGGTCCGTAACTCAAGTAATTTTTTTTTTTGGAACATAAAATGAAAAGGCTCCTGCTTCATTTCAATCATTGCTCTGGGGTGGGGCTGTGGATTGAAGAGTTCAGTACCAGGCTGTGTTAGAGAGAAAGGACATCCCCACCTATCTCTCACCGCAACAGCTCGGGGACAGGTGAAATGCACCTCTCCCTGGCTGCTGCAGGTCCAGTGGGCACAGCTGGAGAGGGGAGCATGATCCCCATGTGGGGCAGGTCCAGATTCATCTGTCCTCTGTGCTCCCCAGCCAGAGTGAGGAATGCAGCAAATGGTGCACTTCCCCCTCGCTCCCTGCCAAAGGGAAGCAACCAGTCATGTCCCCATATGAACTGTTGTGGGGAGCGGTTACACATTTACAAAAAAGCCCGCTTTTGAACAAGCCCAGAAGCAGTATATGGAATTTGGTGGTTGTAGCTCTTACCGTTGAGGAGGAGTCCTTGAACAAACAGACTCGCAGATGGACAGACAGATGCACAATTTGAATATAGACAGATATGGTACATCTGTATTTGAAACTTGTACTGTGCATCTGGGTGACACCCCCAGACACCTTGTCATCAGCACTGCCTATCCCGTTTGATGTCCCATAAAGGCTCATGTGCAATACAGTTAACCCATGGAAAGGATCCCGTGGATACACCTTATGAGTCAGCAAGACATGGAGGACCTGCCTGTGGCCAGAGAGCTCTAAGTCTTTTCCGTGCCTTCAGCTATGAACTTGTGTTTGGAACAAAGAACGTACAAGCCAGGTGGCAAAAGAATATAGAAAGTAGCTGCATCTTCTTCATTTTATCTTCTTCCCAGCTCAGCTTGTCAGTGGAGTAACTTCTCCTAAGGAATCTCAGAACGATGGACTGAATGACCCATCCCAACTATGGACGTGTTCCAGAGGGACTTTCAAATTAGCAAACTTGCCAGTACTGATCAGAACCTGATACATGAACTCTGATGTCTCTGTGGATATCTAAGGGAATGTCTACACAGCAGAGCTAAAGACCAATTCAGCTACACAACTTCAGCTATGTCAATTGTGTAGCTTAAGTTGAAATTGCTTATTTTGGCTTTTTGACACTGTCGACACAGCAGAAAGTCCGAATTAGAACACTCCTCCTCCAATTTCCTTACTCCTCATAAAATGAGGGTTATAGGAGTCAGAGTAAGCAGTCCTCCAGCTTGACAGTATTTCGACATTATGTCGAAATAAAGGCTTCTAGTGCAGATGCCGACTATGTTATTTCGGAACAATGTCAGTTATTCTGAAATAACACTCCTGTGTTGGTGTACCCCAAGTGTTTTACCGTTTAACAATTTTTGTTCTTTTTGACATAATAAACCTTTACTTTGAGGCAGGAAAGGATGGGCTAGCAGTGTGTTATTTTGGGTAACATGCAAACTTACATTGACTTGGTAACAAGATCAACCCTTTGGAGTCAGAAAAACATTTTGGCTGTTTCTAGACTGGCCAGTTTTTCCGGAAAATCAGCCGCTTTTCCGGAAAAACTTGCCAGCTGTCTACACTGGCCGCTTGAATTTCCACAAAAGCACTGACTTCCTACTGTAAGAAATCAGTGCTTTTTGCGGAAATACTATGATGCTCCCATTCGGGCAAAAGTCCCTTTTGCGCAAAACTTTTGTGCAAAAGGGCCAGTGTAGACAGCTCAGATTTGTTTTACGCAAAAAAGCACTGATCGCAAAAATGGAGATCGGGGCTTTTTTGTGCAAAAGCGCGTCTAGATTGGCTATGGACGCTTTTCCACAAAAAGTGCTTTTGTGGAAAAGCATCCGATCCAATCTAGATGCTCTTTTCTGCAAATGCTTTTAACGGAAAACTTTTCCGCTAAAAGCATTTGCGGAAAATCATGCCAGACTAGACGTAGCCCTTGTGTATTTGAACAATGTTTTAAAATAGTTTCTCTGTACTGGACTGAGGTGCTGACTGAGAGCCAAAGAACTGACATGCAATAAAGGGGCTGTGCGATTTCTTTGTTCGACTTCATAATAACTACTGTGGGGATCAGAAGCACAGTTTGTGACTCGTTAGTGAATTTAATTTCAGTGTTACCAACCAGTTTTGAGAATATCTGTTCTCCCTTTTGCAACCTTGGCTTTTCCGGTGAGGGCTGCCCCTGGCACATTGGGCTACGAATAGAACACATGAAATTATGGACTCTTTCTAAGTAAGAAGGTATAACAAGCAATAAGAATGTGTTACAGGGAACAAACTTGGAGAGCAGATATGGTTTTGTTTGGTTATAAGTGGAAGGTGCTGTGAGGATTGTAGCACACTGAGTGTTACACGGGGTTTTGCGAGCAGATCCTGTACATGAGTGAGCGAGGGCATTC